ATGACCACTAAGGTAAAAACCAGAATATTTCCTAATACACAATTTCTTCTCTAGGCAAAATAAGAAATAAATTTGTGAGAGTACTTCCCAAGTGTTTTTACAAAAGCTCTAAGAACAAAATTGACGAAAATGGCCTAATCCAAGTTCAAATTTTAAAACTTGAACATTAAAGATAAGTATCTTACTGTAAAACAAGTAAAATGAATGGTTGAATAATTCATTACCTACGTGGAGGTAGAATAGGGACTAAAGTTTAGCAGAAAAAGCCACTATAAAAGGTGACTGGGGCATATGAACGTCAAGCAAATATTGTAAATGAAAATAATGTGTGCTGTGATTAAATAAAAGTGTACAAGGAATAAAGTTTTAATATTTTCTTATTCATATCTAGGAGTGATATTTATTTTTAATACTAGATAAACGGTTATGGTTTTGTTGCTAGTCTCATTAAAAAAAACTAAGTGAGTATTGATGTCTTGATGTTAAATATTTATTATTATAAGAACTTATATGCACTATACAAACTTGAATATCATATTCCTGAATTAATTTCAAGCATAAAATGTCCTATGAACAAACATTCAATTCTGCATGGTTACCAAGCTACAAGAGTTTAAATATCAAAAGATATATTAACATAGTATGCCATGTGTTCGAATATGTCGAAACACAGCACTGAATGTTTGGTGCCTTGGAACTTGTCGGTATGGAAATCGTCACCGATACTCCATACAAGCAGCTCGTGAATATTCATTGTATTGTATTTTTAACAGTCTCCACTTTAAGGTCCCTATGAAGATCAGTATTGTGGCAGTACCAGGGTGCATTGGCGATGTTCCTTAATGCTTTATTCTGGAAACGTTGAATAACTTTGATGTCACTTTTCTGACACATCCCCAAAGTTGGCGAATCGCTTCATTTTCACCAATTCCTTTAAACGCACTAATCTGAAACAAATTATAGGTAATTAAAAAGGTATATTAATATTGTTTTAAATTAACTATAATAACACAAACAATACTCATGCATACACAAAACATGAAGCTCTACTTTTCAATCAGCTGTAGAACTAATAAATAAAATTGGTGTAAGGACAGCAAATGTAGGTTATATTTAAATAGAAATAAGAATATAAAATGCCTATAAATTAAATTTGACAAACGAAATGGCGTACGATTAATGTACTTCTCAAGAAAATGCTTGAAACATATACTGCTGAATTTATTATACTTGTTGACAAACTATCCACGCGCTACGTTTTATAGGATTTTTTGGAAATCTACAAATATTATTTCATATGAAAAAGTATTATTCCAATATAGGTAGGCCTAACAGTTGATAGATGATTTTTTTGCATTTTTAAAAGCATACTTTTATACATTTTATACAAACCTGTCATAATACTGTCCTGTATAATATTTATAATTTTGATACTAACCTATGAAACGTTATTCCAGTCGATTTTTCACAAAAACGTCTATCGCTAGAGCAGGAACGTATAACACAGCAAGGCATTATATACTTTATAAGTTTGTAACACTCAAAATTTGCTCAAACACAAATTTAATTCAAATTTAATTACACAAATGACACTAAAAATATAACCTATAAAATTTGACAATTTGCACTCACAGTAATGGCGGACCGGTCCCACTTTTCGCTTACGCATGTCGTATCCCTAGGTTGCCAGATCAATGTTCAACACCCACTGACAGAAACAATCCGTCAGCCGTCCAAAATGGCCGAAATCCCTTTCCGATAAATGTCAAGTGGGTTCAGAAATTCATCCTCAAGAATTCCCCACTATATAACTTAAGAGACCATTTACGAAAGGTACCCTAAAAACTATATTTATATACAGTATAACTACATTTGGGAAACTGTTCCCGACAAAAGTTAATACAACAGCGATCGCAAAAAAATCCCTCACGACTTAAAATCGCTCATTGTGAAACTACCTTACCTCGGGTTCTGAGCCCGATATTGGAACGTCCCACCAACATGACACTTGTCGGTGTTCTGTCGTCAAATGACGTTTATGTCATTCACTGTCACAATTAAAAAAACATTAACCCAATTCTGACAGCTATAAACAAAAATAAACAAAGAAAATCTTAAAGAATGATATCGTAAATAATTAATTACCCAAAGGTGAGACTATAATACATAATATATATAAATTTACAACGAAACTTGGTCTATTTTTAGGAGAACTACTATCCTTTTACTTAGTGGTGAGATGAAATAAATTGTAATAATGATGTCCGAAAGTTAGAATACAGGTGAAATTAGTTAATGACAAAAATAATAGTGATATCATCAATACGATTTTACCCTTTTTTTTTCGTATGATTAACCAGGTAAGCCAAAACAAATTTATTAATTCGTGGGGCCAAAAATGAACATTACAGTCCATCCTTAAAACAACATCCTGTATGTCTGAATTTGAAATTTTCGTTTTCATATTTGAAAAGAGCACAAAAAACTGAATTCAATAATCTACATTTTATTTTTGCGCAGACGATTTTACTACTGAAATTATAAGTCCAAATTGTTATTTTTGAGCATTTTGGAGGTACAAACTGGAAACGGACGGAGTTTTATTAATTTTATTACGGTATATTTAAAATTATTTAAAGAAGTATATTTCTAAAAGCTACAGATATGTCAATACTTATAATTGTATGCATCTACATAATTTCAAAAAATAATTTCAGGTCCGGTTTTAGGGCCAAAAATCAGAATTATTTTTTTTTTCGACCGCACCCTGTATAAATTATTCCATGTAAGTTTTAATAAATAGTATGTAGGATAATAATATGGAAAGAGACTAACATTCAGTAGAACAAATAATAACTTTTACAACTTAAGGAAAAACACATAAATAATAACTAATTAATACATAATAAACAAATCAAAATAACAACTAATAATAGAAAGAAATACAAATATTAGAAATGAAGTAATAAACCTTATTGCTACTAAAAACTACAAGAGTTGTTCAAAATGTTCAAAGCATTTTCTTGCTCGTTTTGAAATATGGTTGACGGCTTTTCTGATTACATCGGGATTATTTTTCATTTCTTCGCACGCGTTTTCTATCCTCCCAACTAGTTCTTCCCTACTATTTATGGGAGTGGAATATACTTTTGTTTTTAGATGTCCCCAAACGTGGTAATCCAGCGGATTAAAGTCAGGCGATCTTGAAAGCTAGTGATTGGGAGCACCTCTGCCTATCCACGTATTAGGAAAATTTTCATTCAAAAATTCTCTCACAATTAGCCGGTAATGCGGTGTAGCACCATCATGTTGAAAATATACACCGGCTATATCTACATCTGCATCGTCTAATAGAACAGGCTACATATTTTGAAGAAAATCTAAATAAATTTCTCCAGTCAGTCTGTGAGGGAAAATATGTGGTCCAATTAATTTATTATCAAAAACGCCGCACCAAATATTTACTGAAAATTTGTATTGTGAATGGGTCTCTCTTACAGCAAATGGATTTTCTGTCGACCAAATGTGCGAGTTTCGTAAATTGAACACGCCGTCTCTTGTAAACTGGGCCTCATCCGTAAATATGCATCTACGTACAATTCGCCGATTTAAGAGGATCCACCTACTAAAATTAATTCTAGGAATTTTATCGCCTGCTTCTAACCTCTGTACTTCCTGAATATGATATGGGTGTAAACGATGTTTTTTTAGTCGTCGCCATACGCTCACCATCAGCATCTGCTGAAGGTATTCTACAATCAAAGTAAGAATGTTCTATAGGTGTAGTATATTCTGTACATCTTCCAACTTCGTCTGTACAACATATTCAAGACATACCTATAGTTACGTCAGAAGAAATTGTGTTAGAAGGTAAACTTTATTATTGAATAATGACTACGATTGCTGGAAAATAATATTAGCATTATATTTTAAGTTTATTTTCAATTTCAGATATATCTAAAAATTATGTGCCACAATCAAAATCTGGTGAAGTTATTCCACAATCAACAATCAGTGTTTACTTCAATGTCATCAACCGATAACGACAATATTTATGATGAGATTGGCTCTTTTGATGATGCAGATGCTGACTATCTTCTATCAGATGATAAGGAGTCTTCTGAGAATAAAGAAATGGAAAATGACGATGGTGAGGACGACATGTTGACTGATCCTCCTGTTCTGAATGATGCTTCTAGTAAGAAAAAAGGCAGAGGAAGGTGTAAAGTAGAAGAGACAGATAAAACAAGAAAACGAAAGAGAAATCCAGAAAGTTGGTCAAGAAATAAGAGAAGATGAGCCAGGGTTCATGGAAAACCATACATATCAACGAAAAAAACAGTTTGCTAGTGGACGATGCCTGAAGCCTGCTTGTACGTGTAGACTAAAATGTAATGAAAAGATTTCTGAGAATAGAAGATTAAAATTATTTCAGGAGTTCTACTTGCTAGATGCTAACTCGCAAAATCAATTCATTTCACAAAGCTTTCATGAAGTGGAGAAACAAGTGGAAAGACGTCGGCAACGGCAAAGACCTAGCAGATGACAATTTTCTCTTTTTTATTTCTTGTATGATGAGACAAACACTAAAACAAAAGTTTGTCGTACTATGTTTCTGAATACACTAGATATAAAAGCAGGACAATAAAAGTTTTAGCAGCTAAGAAAAGAGCATCTTTAAGTGGAATTTGTCCTAATGATGGTCGAGGAAATCATGGTAAACAAAGAAAAATCGGTGAAGATGCAACTAATACAATAAATGATCATATAAATAGTTTCCCTTCATATGTCAGTCATTACTCAAGATTACACACCGACAAAAATACTTGTCAGAACATTTGGACATTTCAAAAATGTATCGGTTGTACAAAGAACATTGTATTTCGCAAAATGTACTACCATAACTTGAATCAATGTACAGAAAAATATTTTTTGAACATTACAACTTGTCCTTTCACGTTCCTTCCAATGATACGTGTGCCAAATGTGATAAGTACAAGATGTTACTTTACACAACAACGGATTTGCAAGAAAAGGGAGACCATGAAAAAAATTATAAAGAACATTTAACTATGGCTGATCAGGCATACAAAGAAAAAAGAGAAGATAAAAAACGTAGTCTTCAGAATGAAAATGTAACATTTTTTTCGTTTGATTTAGAAAAATGTTTGGCTACGCCAAGGCTGCAAAATAATATGTTATTTTACAAACGATCATTATGGACGTATAACTTGACCATCTACAGTTGTACAAAAAAGCAAAAACACCCTATTTGTTACATTTGGGATGAATCTATAGGTGGTAGAGGTGGTGAAGAAATAGCATCATGTCTTAGAAATTATATCCTTTCTTTACCACCAGATATTTCTGAAATCAATATATTCAGTGACTATTGTAGTGGGCAAACAAGAACCATTTATGTTACCACCATGTTATCAGTTTTGGTATACGATTTTAATAGAAACGGAAGGACGCTTGTCATCAACCACAAATTTCTAGAACCAGGACATACGCACCAAGAGGCGGACACTATACATGGGGCTATTGAAAAAGTTAAAAAACATACTACTGCCAAAATTGAGATACCCAGAGATTGGGCAAACCTCATTAGAATGGTTCCAAGAAATCCCCCAATACAGGTTATAGAAATGCAACAGACAGATTTTTTTAATTTTAAAAGAGTTTTGATCCATCAGTACGTTCATCGTAAGATTATTACTGAACAAGAACCTGTTAATTGGTTACAAATAAAATGGTTACAGTATCGTACCGATTCACTGTCAAAAGTTTATTACAAAACTTTTTATACCCCTACAGAGCTGTTAAGGTACTAGATTTGTCTCGGAATACCCGTAAGTCATATGGTACGCGTTCAGCTGGATCGTCTACCTCAAAAAATCAAGATCAAGAAAAACTAACCCCAAAAAATGAAAATCCAATACCACTACCAGAGAAAAAAATTAAAGACCTTAAGGACCTAATGCCTTTCGTCTCAAACAAGCCGAACCTTTTACGAAACTCTATTTTCAGGACCTACTGTATCGGTTGAAGACGAATATCTACCCGATGAACGTCTTTATGAAAACTATGATGAAGATTAAGATGTTTTTAGAATGCTACTTTGTAAAACAAAAATTTTGTTATAGTTATACCTACTAATGAGTTTTATTGCTTAAAATAAAATTATTATTTCGGTATATCTCACGTATTTTATTGTCTAGGTCCACAATTTGTTAACATATTTTAATGTCAAGAAGTAACTATGTCAATAAAATATTAGGTCAATGACTTATAATATTTAATTTTTTTTTTAAGTACCAAGCTCCTTTGTCAACAATAATCTCCTGAGGTACAAAACAATAAAAATTTCGAACAACACAAAACTGCTCATACTGAAAAGTTTTAATTTTTGACTTAGGCACATCTTGTACCAAGCCACAGATATAAGGAAAGTATAGAAATCATGATTTTTTTCGATCTCGAGTTTTCGACGGATTTTTACGTTTTGAGGTCCCCTGAATTCGTTTTGACTATTTTCGCGATGATGTCTGTGTGTGTGTGTGTGCGCGCGCGTGTGTGTGTGTGTGTGTGCCTGTGTGTGTGTGCGTGCGTGCGTGCGTGCGTGCGTGCGTTCATGCGTGCGTGCGTGCGTGCGTGCGTGCGTGCGTGCGTGCGTGCGTGCGTGCGTGCGTGCGTGCGTGCGTGCGTGCGTGCGTGCGTGCGTGCGTGCGTGCGTGCGTGCGTGCGTGCGTGCGTGCGTGCGTGCGTGCGTGCGTGCGTGCGTGCGTGCGTGCGTGCGTGCGTGCGTGCGTGCGTGCGTGCGTGCGTGCGTGCGTGCGTGCGTGCGTGCGTGCGTGCGTGCGTGCGTGCGTGCGTGCGTGCGTGCGTGCGTGCGTGCGTGCGTGCGTGCGTGCATGCGTGCGTGCGTGCGTGCGTGTGTGCGTGCGTGCGTGCATGCGTGCGTGTGTGTGTGTGTACAGAAAAACACCAAATTTTAAACTTAAGCTTTATTTCATCCTCCAATGAACTAATTAGTTTTTGGGCAGATTCGGAACATCTGGGGGTACTTTATAGGTGGTCATTTTTATATTTTATGGAATATATCTGTTATTTACGTTTGAAGAAGAAAATTCTTTAAATAAAAGTTACTTCTTATATTATCTGTAATTCTTGTTATTTACAAAATTTTCCTAAAATGGTCCGTATTCGAGAAATTTGACAAAATGAAAAAAATATTTTTTTATAAAAATTGTTCAAATAAAAGTTGTTTGTAACATAATTCTCTATAATTTTTATTTTATACATAATTTCTCTAAAATAGACCGTATTCAAGATATTTGAGAAAATGTGTAAATTTCAAATTTTGAAGAAAACTCAAAAACGGATAAAGAAAAAACATTAAATTTTTAACCCAAGTTTTATTTCGGCCTGACGTGAAATGATTAAATTTTAGATAAAGTCGGAACATCTGGGGGAGTACTTTATGGGAGGCCGTTTTTATAATTTATGGAATGTCTCTTATTTATGTTTGGAGAAGAAAATTGTTCAAATAAAAGTTACTTCTAATATTATTATCTATAATTTTTGTTTTATGTCAAAATTTCCTGAAATGGTCCGTATTCGAGAAATTTTACAAATTGTGCAATATTCTGATTTTTATGAAAATTGTTGAACTGAAAGTTGTTTGCGATATCGATCTCTATAATTTTTGTTTATATATGATTTTTCTAAAACGGACTGTAACGGAAAAATTGGAAGAAGAGTGCTAAATTTAAATTTTTTAGTATTTTCGTTTTCAATGAATATCTATAGAAAAATGTTTCGAGGTAGATGTATGGGAAAATGTATATATTTAGTTTATCCTCTAAACATTTATAGAGGTGCTACAATAGGTTGTACAAAATAACCGGAAAAAGCTTATAATAACTAGATAGGAAAGTCATGTGTTGGACACATCAGATTTGTTGAAATGGTGTAGATGCATACATTTATAAGTATTGACATATCTGTAGCTTTTAGAAATATACTTCTTTAAATAATTTTAAATATACCGTAATAAAATTAATAAAACTCCGTCCGTTTCCAGTTTGTACCTCCAAAATGCTCAAAAATAACAATTTGGACTTATAATTTCAGTAGTAAAATCATCTGCGCAAAAATAAAATGTACATTATTGGATTCAATTTTTTGTGATCTTTTCAAGTATGAAAACAAAAATTTCAAATTCAGACATACAGGATGTTGTTTTAAGGATGGACGAATTTATTAATTTTTTGTAAAGACGGACCTGGATTTCGTTTCTTGTTTATACCTTTTTAGATTTGGTAAGTTACGGTGAATAAGTGCGTCAAATATCAAAAACATATAGAGGGTGGTTAATAAGTTATGAGTCTGGAAAGAAATAGGCCAAATTGATCAAACACCCTGTATCTCAGCTGTAAAGGTCGAAAGACCCATTAAGTGTGGGTTAT